GGTAGGAAGATATATGACAAATTGGTGGTGACTGTGAGATGCGCCTCATCCGTTAGACGCAAGTTTGACAATCAGGTCCCAAAAATGGAACGCCCTTTGATTGCCACCCCTGAGAAATTGCCCCCGAGGAAGTTCGATCTTCACAGGAGCGACGAAAGCGACGTTGTGTCCGCGACGATCGGAGAAACAAAGACCAATTCCGCTCCAACGACGATGTCCAAGAAGAATTCGGTAGCTGGTATATGCCGAATAGAGGAAGAAGCATCGTCCCGACCTAAAAGAAGTCCAAATCCAACGATAGAAGCTCCGGAATGGCTTGCGCAGAAGAAAAGCGAAGCCAAAGAACGACGATCACGGGATCGGCGGTATATGCGCCTCCCCCTAAAAATTAAATTATTATTAAATGAATAAATGACACCGTAATAATGGAATTCGCCGCCCCTATCCAAAGAAGAAACTAAGAAAAAAGTCAGGAAATGAAAGATATCCGACGAATACGTAGACTCTTGTCGAGCGATGTTTATGTTTAAAAATCAAAAGTACAGTGCGCGATTAGTGGATCCAACCTGCATTATTGAAGCTCAAAAGACTTTTAATGCTAAACAACTATATCTGCCAGATGTTGATAGTGGAATCTCCAATCGACACCCCGAAGAGTAACAATAATCACAATCATGATCACGATTGTGATCACGATTGCGCGTTTTCACTTCGGACTTCCATTCCAAGACGATGATGGTGACGATGCCGACGATCACGAAAGCCGCGGTACCGAAAGAAGCTACAGACGAGTACCTAAAGAAAGGAGGACCGTCTGTAAAGAGAAGAACGGCGAAGAAACCAGAAGGCAAAAAGAACCAAAACTTACCGACGAGACTCCGGTAGCACATGCGAGGGACGATGGATATCGCCGAGGGTCAAGGAGAACCCGCGGATGGCGAATCGAACGTGAAGCATGGGGCTAGGGAAAGACTGGTAAGAGAGTTAGAAGCCAATGGTAGAACGCCGCAAAAGAAAGAAAACGCCGCGACTTACCGGAATTACACCAAGACGAGAGAATACGACCAAGACCGACGATTGGAAACGCCGAAATGCCATCACGATTACGATCACGATCGAGAAGAAAAAAAAAAAAAAAAGTTTATCATACGAAGTCGGATAATGCACGCCTAGAATATATATGCATGCATATATATTCAGAACGGCAAGGAATCCTCCGCAATAATCAACACCACGACCGACGAGAGGTATACCGCCCTGACGATTGGAAATACCGGGACAAGACCGCGAAGAAGGCACCGACGCGGAAAGAAAAAAAAAAAAGAGAGAAGACAAGAATGGTTAGGAAAAGAAGTAACCATACACAACAGACGAAACACAATGAAAAGCTTACCCCACCTTCCGAAGATGACAGCTCCGAAGATCAAAGGCTGGGATGCTGTCATAATCGTGATTACGATCATGATCACGATCGCGCCCCCACGACGATGATGGTACTATTACCACCATGAGGAAGACAACGGCGACGATTATAAACACTACCACTATCATTATGAAGAAGATGATGACACCGAAGAAAAGGAATGAAAGTGAGACAACGCCGGAACCAGAAGCAACCACGTACGCAAAGAAACCACTTACCTTTGATAAGACGCTGGCCCGAAGAGGAATAATTCCGGGATGCTGTCATAATTGTGATCACGATCATGATCACGATCGCGATCGCACGCTTCCCGCCTCCCCGAAGAATAACAATTCGAAACCTTGGAAGCTAGATTGTCAGAATTACAAAAATCACGATATAACAGTGAACGACCTTAATGATATGAAGAGTAGATATCAGGAATGTCTGTCGAAAATTAACGAGCTCTACCTTAGACTTGCTGAATCCCAAAGCGAGGAACTCAAGAATTACACCCCTTCAACGCCGATGACACCGATATCGCCCACTAGTTCAGTCGACCGAATGTCCCTTTCGCAAACCTTCATTTATAGCGAGTTAAAATAAGGAATTTCTGGGCAAAGCAAATGATGCATCAAGATCAATGAATTTCGGACTTTCGCCATATATCACCGCGATCATAGAAGCTCTCCGGGATTCCGTAAGTCACGTGACTTAGAGCGTGAAGCTGTAGAAATAACGACCAAGATGGAAAAGAAAAAGAGAAGCTTACGGAAGAGTTCCGCCGCCGAATCAACCAACCTGTCCTCACGAAGCCGCATCAAGACCTACAAAGACAAGACATGGTTAGCATATACTTCAACGCCATATAATTCCACTAGCATACATGTACCTACAAAATATATGCCGCGCCGCACCATCAAGATTCTACAAAAATGAATGAAGACAAGCGAAGTTAATAGTTACCTTACCCCTTTTAATTACCCTTACTTTTAATAATTCCTTTATAATTCCTTTGATTATCCCTCATACTCTATTAGCATTTAGTGACACATATATCGTTTTATTTCTTTATTTTTAAGACTTGAGAAAATATTATTATTTTGCTTGGGTAATTTCATAAAGCCATTACATAGCCGTAGACGACCTTGATTCTTAGGAATCCATAGCATATGCTGG